CTACAGACTCAATAACAAATCAAGTCTTCTTAAAGATATTGTTTAAAAATGAATTTATTGTCATTTGATGCATTAGATATTAGAAGCTTTGAATTTGAATTTTTAAAAGTAAATATCTGTAATATAAAGTTAAGAATTTTTGGTATATCTGTGAGAGTCCTTTCCTATTAGGCGTAGAAGAAAACCTCATGTACAAATATAAATCAAGGAAATTTTACTTAACTTTTCCTTTCCAGAAGTATGCTCAGAAACAAAATATACAACATACTTTATATTTTGCTGTATTACAAAACAAATACAACCATAGTCCATATTACAATTAAAAATGTACCCCATAGAAAATGATATACATGTATGTCCAAAAATGATAGCAATATCGGATGGGAAATATTGTATCTATTTATAATGCTGATGTAATATAACAGCTGGAGATAGAGGTGGCTAAGCCAGCAGCCCTGCCCTTCCCCCCACCCCTGGATGAAGGTGTGGAAGAGAGTCTGTTCACTGCCTATATAGCCACGCCCCCTCCCTCACCAGAACCACAGGTTTGTACAGTGTTTACTGGATCCTGTTACATTAAAATCAATTCTATTTTTGCCAATTTAATAATTTTTTTAAACATTTCCCAAATAGGGAGAGCTGAGTTTAAAACAAATTAGTTTTAATGTCATCTGTTGTAAAGAAAAAAAATCCTTGCATTTAATAAATCATCTTTTTTACCCTTAATTAGAAAAAAAAATTAGTCTTGTATTCTTCCTCGCAAATTAAGGATATACTGTAGATGTATTATATTTAGCGTGTACAATATTTGGCGGAAATTGATTTTTGAACAAGTTAGCCTAGATTTGATTTAGCACATTTCTTAATGATTCTTATTAAAGTATATATGTATAAGACATTTAGCATTGTACTTGAATTAGCGGAAGTTTCTTTCCGCCAAAAACGCTAAAAATAATACAACAGTGAACACCAAATGTAATTCGTTTACATTATATCATGTGACCTGTTTCTATCTTTTTCAGGGTTTATAGTGATACCTATTATATTTGTGACATAATAGGAAAACTTATCTTAAAATGTTATATACACCATTGTCACAATGACAAAATACAAATAAAACAATTTTATAACGAAGTTCCAGGGATGAACAATTTCACTTCATTATAAGCATATTTCATTATATCTGTTAAATTTACAATATATTTCACAGAGAAAAAGAATTACTCCACTGTAACCATAAATTTATTATAGACATGTTTGCTATAACCATGTTTTACTGTATTAATTTCAAATGATATTGATGGAACATAGAGTTTCCCTTTTTTTCTTTGATGGCACTTCAATTGAATCTAAAAAAACTTATGATGTGAGATGTTCTTTGTTATTGCTATATAGGTTACAGAGGAGGCAGACATTTTACGCTTAGAATCAGCAGAGGTCAATCTTTATTCCTTGTTTTCAAAATCTTTTGTTACATTCCAGTTTTATCTTCTTCCCTTTCCAGTTTTTCAAATTATTTTTTTTTTCAATCTTAACCAATATTTTCTTAATATACAAAATAAAAGTAAAAAGTTCAGCCTTGAATTCAGACATTTAATTTCTCTGCTAACAATGAAATGTTGATATTTGCATCCTTTACTCTACATTCTAATGACTTTAACTTGATAAAGTTAATTTTAAAAAAAGATATACAATTTAATTAATACTCCTTATGGTTTCAACTTTTGTCTTGTCATCCTCCCCATGGTGAACAAATGCATTTGCAAGATATTACTTTACAACTTCCCATTTCTAGTTATTTAAACTTTTTTAAGAATAAAAGACACCCCCCCATAAAAAAAGTTCAAAGTATTTTGTTTGATTCAGACTGAATTAATATATTCCGAAATTGATTTGTAAAATTTTATAAATGAGAGAGTGAATATGTTGCTCTTTTGTTGTGATATTTTCATATTTAAGATACTTTCAGAATAGGCTGAGCTCATACCTGACTGTAAGCATGCTCAAATCTGATTATTTTTACTTCTCAGGTGGACGAATCTGCTAAAATGACAGAACCCCCACCTGTAGAGGACATTGATGCCTTCTCAGAACTGACACCGCAGGATGTCATAGAAGTAGTAGAGAGTGTCACAAAGGAGCTAATGTCAGGCCTACAGGTGAGTACAATATCTCAGTAGAGTCAATGTCAGTAATAAAATGTCACAGAGGAATTAATGTCAGGCCTACAGGTTAGTATAATATCTCAGAGGAGTTAATGTCATTGATAAAATGTCACAAAGGAATTAATGTCAGGCCTTCAGGTGAGTGCAATATCTCAGAGGAGTTAATGTCACAAAGGAGCTAATGACAGACCTACAGTTTAGTCCAATATCTGAGAGGAGTCATTGTCACAAAAGAGCTAATGTCAGGCCTACAGGTTAGTGCAATATCTCGGAGGATTTAATGTCACAAAGGAGCTAATGTCAGGCCTACAGGTGAGTACAATATCTCAGAGGAGTCAATGTCACAAAAGAGCTAATGTCAGGCCTACAGATTAGTGCAATATCTCAGAGGAGTTAATGTCACAAAGGAGCTAATGTCAGGCCTACAGATTAGTGCAATATCTCAGAGGAGTTAATGTCACAAAGGAGCTAATGTCAGGTCTACAGGTTAGTACAATATCTCAGAGGAGTCAATGTCACAAAGGAGCTAATGTCAGGTCTACAGGTTAGTACAATATCTCAGAGGAGTCAATGTCACAAAGGAGCTAATGTCAGGTCTACAGGTTAGTACAATATCTCAGAGGAGTCAATGTTACAAAGGAGCTAATGTCAGGTCTACAGATTAGTGCAATATCTCAGAGGAGTTAATGTCACAAAGGAGCTAATGTCAGGCCTACAGGTTAGTACAATATCTCAGAGGAGTCAATGTCACAAAAGAGCTAATGACAGGCCTACAGATTAGTGCAATATCTCAGAGGAGTTAATGTCACAAAGGAGCTAATGTCAGGCCTAAAGATTAGTGCAATATCTCTTCTCAGAGGAGTTAATGTCACAAAGGAGCTAATGTCAGGCCTACAGGTTAGTACAATATCTCAGAGGAGTAAATGTCACAAAGGAGCTAATATCAGGCCTACAGATTAGTGCAATATCTCAGTGAAGTTAATGTCACAAAGGAGCTAATGTCAGGCCTACAGGTTAGTGCAATATCTTAGAGGAGTTAATGTCAGTGATAAAATGTCACAAAGGAACTAATGTCAGGCATACAGGTAAGTACAATATCTCAGAGGAGTCAATGTCACAAAAGAGCTAATGACAGGCCTACAGATTAGTGCCATATCTCAGTGAAGTTAATGTCACAAAGGAGCTAATGTCAGGCCTACAGGTTAGTGCAATATCTCAGAGGAGTTAATGTCAGTGATAAAATGTCACAAAGGAACTAACTGCAATGTATGCTAAACTTATCACTAGCCATTAAAAAAGTTGTTTTAAAAAAGGTCAAAGGTCAGATATAAGGTCATCTCAAGACATCAGTAACCTGTGGTTTTTAAGAAGATCTTTTGACAAGTAAAACTTTTTTAATGAACTATTCATCTTTGATGTTTCCAATGATATGGCAGTGACAGGTAAATGACCCTGGTCAGTGATGATTCCTGTAAACAGAGCTGTTTTGCAGATTATTTCTTTGAACATGAATACAGCAGCAGTACATTATTAAATAGAGATAAAAGCAATGAATTAATTTCTATGTCTATAAAATCTTCTGATGACAGTACAATCTTTATTTTCACAGCTGGACATAGCTGCTAAACTGAGGGAGAAGGAGAACAATCTAATTCAGAAAATAAACAAAGTTCACAGAGTGGCAGAGACTACGTAGACATGGGAGGAGTGTTCTGTAGACAGTGCTTGTTATTATGTGTCCACTTGTTTTGTTACTTTAACATGTAAATACAGTTATTAATAAAAATCTAAAATACATATGTTTTTGTTTCATATTTAGCTACAAAACATTGAATTTTCTGTTTCTATCATTTTCACACACATCCCCCAATATATTATTGATATTTTTGTAGCATTTGCCATTTCTTGAACATTGAATGATGCATATGTATGACACTAATTCAAGTGTTCTCGTTCCGCCTCGTGCACATATTCTGTTGGGACTTGGGAGCATATTGTCAATGCACACAGTGTCAATTCTCCGGCATGCCCGTAGGGACCGGGGAGGGAGAGGGTTCCCCTGCCTAATAATATTGCTGATATATAGAATACTATAGAAAAGGCACTACTACCACGGGCGCTTGACGTTTTTAACTTTTCTTTTCATAGATAAAAAATTTCCCCAGTCTGACTACAGCCAGTCCCTACTATTTCAATTCGTTCGTAGGCAACGAAGTAAAATAGTAGGGACTGGCTTTAGTCGGCCTGAAAATTCCCCGTACTATAATAATAACGTTTTTTTTTCGTTCCAGCACCTACTGCGACACGGACTTCGGTTTACACGGTCTCATCCGAAGGACCGGTCTCAAAGTCCCACAGTGGGATTCGAACTCGCGACGTAAGGATCAGCTCCTTACTTCGCGACTCTAAAGCAGACTCTAACGACTGCGCCACGCGGGCAAGAAAGGTTAAAAACGTCAAGCGCATGTAAGCTACTATATATACAGTGTATCTGTGCCCCCTCAATAATGGCATCATGATAACATTGTTAGCGTAACGTAAAATGGAGCTGTCTGGAGCTAGCTTACGTTGGGAGCCACACAGGTAGCCGAAGACAACCTTTTATCGCAGTTTTCCTTTTCATAACAGATTTTATGCTTAGTAATTAAGTTTGTGGCCATTTTTTTTAAAACTACGTTGAACATTACCTTATTTATAAATGTACAAAAAAGACTAAAAGGGTGATTTATTTATTTTTTATTTCCATGGTATAAGGAAAATATATTCTTTAATTTTCTGTGGACCAATCATATTAAATTACACTAGAGAAAACGCAACAGAAAATGAGATTTTTTTTTTCTTTTATCAACAAAGACGCCATAACAGGTAGTTTCTGGAAGAATTTACAATCAGACGTCAGATTCCTGTAGTGCCAACGGCCCATCATCATTGCCCATTCCGTTAAGCGGCCCATTATCATTGCCCGTTCCGCTGAGCGGGCCATTATCGCTGCCCGCTACGCCAAGCGGTCTCACTACATTGACGTGGTTAATGGGACTAATTTCGGGCCCTGTTACACTTTGTGGCCCATTGTTGGGCGTTCCTGTCATTTGTAATAATTGATTTAACAAAGTCTGTGCGCTTTGAAGTTGAGAATTCAATCGCCCGCTAGGGCTTCGAACCTTAGGTTTGGGTGGTGTAGGGGGCTTCCGTCGACTTTGCAATGAGGCCATATTTTCTGCACTCTTTTTGTCTTTGTTTGAGGCCTCATTGACATCTATCCTGGTGTTGATCAGGTTATTAGAATACATCAGTAGCTTCTTGTAGGCGAGAACTTCTAGGTGACGAAGCGCATTCTGACGGCCTCGGATCATATTGAGAACTTTTTCCGTGTCGGCTTTCGTTGAAGCGTTTTTGAATTTTTTGTAACAAAGGGGTTCTCTCTTGCGAATGTCTTCCTCAGAATCGTAATCTACTAAAAAAATTAATATATTTCAGTTTTATATTGTTCTGATGCTTATATGGAGCCTTAAGTTATTATATTGCTACACAACCTACTCAGTAAACAAATTAATATTTTTAACTTACATTGAGAGCAGAGAGTGGTCATTTCCATCTTGGTGTGGTCTACAGCTTGTTCCAGGGAGATTGCTTGTACATTTGCCAGGTGCATCAAACGAGTCAGTTCACAGAGTTCACGGTGCATACAGACAATGTCTCTCTGTCGCCTCTTTATCTTTGCCTCTTTCCTTCTGCAACAAAACAACACATTCCAAATCGTCATAATCTTAATTTAGCTATCATAGAATATTGTTGCAGCATCATAAAGTGAAATTCAGCTGTATAGAATCCAATGGTTCACATAACTATTACTTCATTCAAAATAGTAATAGAGTAGTTTGGAAGCCAACCTAAACTTTTGCATGGCACTGTTGAGTTTGCGACAAGTATTTTTATACTCGCCATCGGTCTCTCTAGCATCTTCATTCAAACGCGCATAACTAGAGCTTTCGCTACCAGAACGTGATCCTGTGGAAGCACCAAGAACTTTCATGGACGCTGAATCTGAGTCACTCTCCTCCTGATCATATTCTGACAATAACTTTTCCCCCGATAATCGAGCTGGTGACATTTCCAGTGACTGCGCGGAGTCTGTGCTAATCACAGGTTTGGTCTTCTTTCCACGTCGAAATATTTTCTTGAGCATTGCTATGGTAAGGTATCCACATATGGAAAGAATTATGACATACGAGTATCGTTTGATGGATACAACGTACATTCATTCATTGCCTGGATCGATATTTTGACGTTTTCGGCGTTATTGCTTTTACAACGTCGCTATGGGGCTGACGTCATAGGACGTTTGCTACTGGTAGGAAATGTTGTCCCACATCATAATGACGTCAAAATGTAATAGCTGTTATAGTTGTACGGTATGTAAACTTGGGTTGGGACAGTCAACGCTTTATACTTGTTCTGTTCTGTTCTATAGTATTACTGTATAATAATATTTAACATGTTTCATTTTCCATCAAAATGTGTAGAAATATGACAATGTACTCTTCGAAAAATGCCTTCATGTAAAAATGTAACCGTCAAGCGGATTGATACGTTTTTGACGTAAGTCATTGTGACGTAGATCTACAACCCATGTGATCGTGGTGATATGGACTAATTTTTTATGCAATCAAATGACGCGTTACCAAAATTAAATATATAGTAAAAAATTAAATTGAAACCAAAATTTTCTGTGCAAACAGAACTCAGTTGCAGATCCAGGGGACACCACATAGCCACTTGTTTCGTATACGGGATACCCCCTACTTATAAGGAAGGGGTATCCCGTATACGACTGAAACAAGTGCCTGTGGGACACCAACACCAACGTGTTTTTCATACGTTGGAGGCCCCGAAGCCTCCCTCATGTTTTTAGGGGTGCTGTAAATATTTTAATTTCGAATTTACTCTTATCACATACTTTATAAAAAGTTAGAGAATATCAACCTTGTCAATATTATAAATCTTATCAACAATTACACATAAAGTTCCGAGTTGTTGTTTTTAGTCAGCCCCCGGGCTGACTAGTTACGTTAGGATGAAACTGCAAGTGCGCCTGCGTTAATTGGAATTGTGGGAAAAAGATTTGCACAATTTTCTCCGACCAGAGGGCGTGCTTCTTCTCGAATACTCACGACCTCGATCTATTTATAGACTGCATTGTTCTTCATCGTTCTCGGTGAAAGTTAATGACATAGACTGTTCAGCAAAAGTCTAGATGGGATAATTGTCAGTTTTTAAATGATTCTATGAAAATATTTCATTGCTTCTAATAGAAGATAAGTACATTTATTCCCTCAATCGCCATTGCAAGCCGGGGATTTACAATGAAGCGCATTGAAGTGGTAAAATTTTCCATTTGGATGAAACGTTCTGAGTCATGTTTTGAACGTCAATTATAACATTACGTTTCTTTAGAAACGAGACAGGAATATTCGTCATAATGTTTTAGGACATTACACTTTCCGCACAAAAAACATGAGTTACACTGAAATTAAAATTTTTATATAAGAAAGAGACATATAGAGAGTTTCCGCTTATATGTAAAACACGCATTGAGACGATTTTATACATAATTATGATTTTATCGTGTTTATTGGATTTAACATAACACATGTATCAGTCGAACACGTGCTTACTCGGTATTTATGTAGACCTTCAATTTCATTGGCGATTATATTTATGAAATACCTGTTCTACAGGTATTCAATTGAATCATTTGACCGATTTTTCCTTTCTAAAGAAATGGGCGTGTCTAAAGATAGCTCAAAACGTTCCATCCAAACAGAAAATTTTACCACTTCAATGCGCTTCATTGTAAATTGTGTATTCTTCTGGATGCGTGATGCAAGACTCCAATACCTTGCATAAGACATGTACGGGTTGGAATTCACACAACAATCCACTTGCCACAAAGGTCCCAAAATAGTGAAAAAAAGAATGATCAATTTCTTTTCACTCTAATGATAGAAGTTATGAAAACATCAGAAGACTACTGTAAAACAGTAAATTCTTAGAATTTACATGATGATGGACGTGTAAGTCCGCTTGTGCACGTGAACCACGCCCACATTTGAGAAATTGACCACAGTGGAAATGCAATAGCTGAGAGAACTGTGCTGATTTATAGACAGGGTCACCCCCCCCCCCAGTGAAAGGAGAGAGAAGGGGGATGGATTCCAGTATTTTAATCTATAGTTTTGTTATGATGGTAGACATCATCATGATCATCAAAGACATTTTAAGTATACGAACTGCATGTATAAACATATTTTGAATTTCCATTTTAAATTGTTTTCCGTGGCATTCATTATTTTTTTTTTTGGAAGCAATTCTTTTCTTCCTTAATAACACTAATAAAATGGATGCTCAAACATAGAAATTAAATTAAATATACCCCCCCCCCCTCCACATCATGCATTGCCTCGAAATGCACAACTGAAAACCGTTATTTAATAATATTTAAAACAATCTAACACAAAGTCTACCTTCCTTTTATTCATCATAATCTATATCATTTTTATAGAATTCAACCTGATCTTAGTTGCCATGTTGGCTTTTGTTCATTTACCGGTATGAGATGAACTTTCTCTGACGTCTGCCTTGAAGAGAATTTATTGGAGATCATTGAGTTACATTAACAGTTTAAATCTAAAGTTTAAACTTATCTATAACTATCTAGATAGTTATAGATAAGTTTAAACTTTAGATTTAAACTTTTAATGTAACAATGGCAATGATCACGATGCAGACTAGCTAAAATTTACTCTATGTTTTATTATTTATTGTGTACAGCATTATGTTACAAATAAGAAAACGATTACAAGAATTTAACTTTTCTTACATTGGCATTTATTACATGTAAGGAACACAACATGATGGATAGATCAAATCATAAACCATTACAAAACAAGAAAGAAACTTTCTGTATTCCAGTGGCTGACCCTCAGCTTTTTTAAAAAAGCTAACCTTGTTTTTTTTTACAACGAATAATTGAATCGGGTTTGATATTCTAGATATACTGGTATTGAATCCGATGGGAAAAAATGTCTGATGACAGTAAAAACTCGAGTATTGAAAAGAGTGAGCCTATTCCTGGGTTTCAGGATGTTAACACATTTACACAGGTACATCCCATCGATAAAGTTAGCATTTCATTAAAAATTGTAAACGTTTTTGTGTAATTGACCTATTTTTTCGGATTTCCAACACGTGGAAATATTGTCTCGAATTTCCTCGAAGTTCTAACTTCAGTAAAAAGTAGTGAAACTGAAGACTTAAGCGAATTGCAATTAAATAGTTTCGAAAGTCATCATAACTAATGACTTTTTTTTTGCAATGGATCTTTTATTCAAACTTAATAATTTTTGTTTTTTAGCAATCATTGAAGTCTGTATTGCAAGCAACTCGTGCATCTAACGACTTGCCTGCTGCTGGGGATGATTTTGATTACTACTCAAGTTTCCAAGGCGTGCGGGACATCTTGGACATTGAAGGGAAGCGAGTCCTCAATATGTAAGGGATTATTCACAAATATTCGTTATACTAAGTATGTCATGCAAAAATCTATAATCAGGCCTTTCAAAATCTGCCGGTACCCGGTACTTTTACCCGGTTGGATTCATTCATGGTACCGGCCAAAATATTCAGTGGAGAAAAAAAATCGCTTGGAAATATGATAGGCCCTATCATAGGTATCATGTTTTACAAACTCAACATTGTGGTTACGTAGCTTTGTATTATTCTTAGTCCGTAGTGGTATCTAATAACGTTTTTGATTGGTTAGTCAAGAAGATCATTAAAGCGTTTGAATAAATGAAACAAAAGAGATTGCGTAACGCGTCGAAAACGAAAGTAGATTTCGATACCAAATTCCACCGTCACTGATTTTGACAAAAGCTAATGACTAGGAATATGTTTTAAATAAATACGGTCAAAAAAATAAAAAATAGGAATCCAGGTGTCAGAAATGAAAGTGTCAATTTAACATTATTTAAAGCCATGGTAATGAGTTTCACAAAAGATTTTAAGATACAAGGAACTAGATCGCGGAAAGTCTTCAACACAGCTGACCGATAGAGAGATTGATATGAACAGTAGATAGTTCTTTGACCACCTCTGTACATTTTAATAGCTCTGATGAAACAAAAGGACATAAAGCAGAAACTATTTCTTTTGCCACACATTTAATTCTTTGATTCAGCAGTTTTCTAGTGGTCAAGAGAATGACCTTGCGGAGGTTACTTTCTTCCCATTATTGTAACCATATCCAGTAAAGTGAGAGAGTCATATCTAAATTTTTTTGTCTCCAGTCTTGATGTCATCTTTGTCTAATTTTCACATGTATATTATTTTATATGTATATGTACCAGTGCATGAAAAATATGCTGAATTTATTGGTACATGCTATAAATCATGTAGTGCTTCTTCTATTTTATTTTTTAATCTGCACTTTACTGTAGAACAGAAATGAATTTAATTTAATGCAAGTACACATTCATTTCTCTTTTATTAAATTTAAATTCTGAATTTCCATTTCCTTTCGTGACTCAATAATTTTTTTATATTTAAAATAAAACACAACTCAAACCTTGCAAAAAATTTTTGAACAAATTAGTATAAACAAATATAGCATAGAACTTAGAAGTTTTATCTAAATCTTATTGTTACTCTGCTCAAATAACTAATTTTTCTATGTAATTCCACCCATCCAGTCCTAAACTTCAATGTGTATTGACCAAAATAAACTTTGAAACATGGCATAAAAATAACACCGATAGCAGCATACTTCTTTGTGTCTAGAAACCAGGAAATGCTGTCTGGTGGCTTCTAAATTTCAAAATTTTTCCGGGGGGGGGCATGCCCCCGGAAACCCCTAGCATGCTCACGCCTTCGGCGTTCGCCACATGGTACCTCCTATTTTTGATAAAGTACCACCTGGTTCAAATCTTTTTGAAAGCCCTGTATAATGGTAAATGGTTCTTCACAGTGAGTCTTCATACTCTGTCATATGATTCATTATTTATTTGCATTTTTGGGGGAGTTGGTGGATGGCAGATTGTTATAATTGTATTTGATCTTTGAGTTTCTGTTGACAGTATCCAGAATGTGTTGCGTTACCACAATGTGAAGGGACACATGACATCATCGTCGGATGCCCATGACCTGGAGGATAAGTTTGATGTCTTGATGGACGCTAATGACCACATCCTAGAGAAAGTGGTACAGTGAAACTATTTAAAAATGTCTCTGACACACTATCTTCTCTATAAATTAAAATCTTTATTGATAAAAGTCAAGAGAGTTCTTGGTATCCAATAAACAAAAAATAAAAATCAAATGGTCATAAAGAAAACTAAAAATTTTATGAGATGAAATTGACTGTAACGATGATTCGGTTTACTTTTTTTTTTGACAGGGATCTTATTTGGATGAATCTGCTGGTCTGAAGAAGAAGGAAGAAGATTTAATTATTGCAACAGCCACTCCAAAAGTAAAACAAACCTCCACTGCCAGCTGGAATAAGAAGGTATGATTTTTAATAATCTAAAAAGATACTAATTGTGTGAAATATCATTATTTTATATTTACTGGTTTGAGTTTATGTGTGCTGTACATTTCAGTTTGAAATTATTGTATGAAATCCAAGCAGGAACATCTTTGTTTTAGTAAACCTTCACTGCTAATTAATAGTAAAATGATGTACCTGATTTTTTTTTCTAACCTCTTTATGTTTGACAGAGCTCTGCTTCCCCAAGTATATCTGAGTACAAGCTTCTGACGGCGAGGAACATACAGCGGCCTCAGCTAAAGTTTAGGGACAAGATCGACAATGAAAACAGACCATTTGTGCCCAGAATCATGGAGAAACCTAATGCTCTTCAGTCTCTGGAAGGTACATAATATATCCAGTCTCAAGATCATTTGTTGTTAATGTTTGCTTTGTGGGTACATGTATTTTGAATTTGTTTGGTAAATTTTAATAGAAGTGATTTACAGTGCATAGAGATATACATTTTATTTTTGCAGCAGCTCCTTTTCTTGCTCCTTTTACACTCTTAAAAAACAATGTTTGCAAAAATCACTAACAAGATAGACTTGCAAAAAGGAATTTCAGTCAGAAAAGATGAAAATAATCATGCACAAAATTTTAATTATCCAATGCTTTGCCTTTTTTGTTTTTGCTAAATAGCTTGACCTCTGTGTGACATGGGTATTATATTAAAGGTGAATGTATGAAGCCCCTCCTATCTTAATTCTTCTCAGTGCTCTTGCCACTTACCATAGTAAAAAGGTGTTTACATTGTTTGGATTTCTTTTCTTCATACAGAAAGTCTTAAACTACATGAAGATATCACACCGGAAATGTTAGAGGAACCAGATTTTCTGTAAGTCTTTTTATTTTTACTACAGTTTAAAATCATGTGCTTTTTTTAAAACAAAATAATTAACAAACTAAGATGTCAAAGACTTTCACTAACTGCAATGATTGCTAATAACATAAAAAATAAATTTGGTTTAATTACAGTTACCCACACCCATACAAGTTTGAACTAAGTGTGTTCAAACCAACAGAAAAGCAACTTCAAGCCACTGAGCCCATTGTAAGATTACATTAAATTGCATTCTTTAATCATCAAAGAACTGAAAGACTGGAAGCAATTTTTTTCTTCACTTTTTATTAAAAATGTATTTTATGAAATTGTAATAGTTTTTCAATCTGAATTTTTCTGTAGAGGGCACTTTCGACAGCTGATACTCCCCTGACCTTTGTCTCCACGGTGACAGAATTTCAGACAGTGCTTGATAAACTCAAAACAGAGGAAATTCTAGCTGTGGATTTAGAAGTAAGTCGGTTACAAAGAAATAATAAACTATAGGGTTCATAGTATCCATTTCGAAATTCTGAAGATTTGTCATTGTAAAATGTTTGTATGTTTGGGGAGATTTTGGATTTTTTTGTCAGTGAGATATTCTGCCAAAGCTTTACATACATACATTACAGCATTAAGTCATACAGAACTTGAATTATATGCGGGGGAGATTTTGGAATTTTGTCAAACACGATATCTGGTTTTTAACATCAGTTCTACGGGGTTGACCAAGCAATTATCTCTGTGTTGTGATGTTAACATGTAATTCTTACATCAATGTTTTTTGGGGGAGGGTGAAGGAGGGGGTGGGGGTCAGCGTCAGACTCACAAGACTTTCCAGGGAATTATCTTTGTGAATTGATTTGTGTAGTACATTTTGTAACTCTCTCTTACTTCTGTGTTTTCTGGATTTCAGCATCACTCCTACCGGACTTTCCAGGGAATAACCTGCTTGATGCAGATCTCCACGGCAACAGAGGACTTCTTGATTGACACTCTGTCACTGAGAAATGACTTATCTCCCCTTAATGAGATACTGACAAACCCTGCTGTTGTGAAGGTAATGCTGATAAATCCTGCACAGAGTGTGGCGGAATGTAGTGCAAGAGGAGCCTTAGTTATATACATGTGTTTTGAACTTTAAAATAGGAATATACACAAATGAATTTCAAGTGTAAAGTTGTTTAATGTTGAGGATGAGTATTTTTAGGAAGAAAAAAAATTTACAGGTAATGTATAATGAGTAGTTGCTTTTAAAATAAAAAAAAAAAAAAGAAAGCAAATATTGATGAACATGTAATTATGATTGACATATGAATAAAAGCATGGTCAAACTGCATGTGTTGAATATTGTTTTTATTTCAGGTGTTCCACGGAGCTGATAGTGACATTGACTGGCTCCAGAGAGACCTTGGTCTGTACATAGTGAACATGTTTGATACAGGACAAGCTGCCCGGGTACTGAACCATGCTCGCTTCTCATTGGCTCATTTGATGGAGCACTACTGTGATGTCACTGCAGACAAACAATACCAGTTAGCTGATTGGAGAATTCGGTATGTGATTATCTGGGATAATTTATAATATTTAAAAAAAAATTTATGAAATGTAAATTGATAATGAATTAAAGATTTAGTATTGTAAAATAAAAAAATTACATTTTAAATAGTCCTTTAAAATTGTATAGCAATGATTACATAATTAAATCTTTGAACTGTGCTTTTCCTCGACACTTATTTGTAAGGGAGCTAATTCAGACTTTGTGTAGGCCTATGTTTTTACACTCTCTTTATATCTGTGTAAACCCTCTGTTTCAGACCTCTTCCCGTGGAGCTGATGCAGTACGCTCGGGACGACACACATTACTTGTTGTATATCTACCACAGAATGAAGCAAGAACTGTTGGCAAGGGGAAACGACCAGAAGAATTTACTGATGTCTGTCTTACAAAGGAGTACAGACATCTGTGCCAAGGTCAACTTCTACAATGAGTTCTATACATACATGTTAACCTATTGTGATGAAAAAGAGGGAGATTCAGACCTCAAAAGCGGTAGCATTGCGCGCGTGTTGTTTAACGCTTGGATTATCGATATCTTTCATGTAATATACATGTATATTATAAGCCTTAAATGAAATCAGGTACCTACACTAATTAATCTTAAATATCAACAGCAAAGAAGAAGACAGAAACACCTTAAGTTTGACAAAAATTGTACAAATTCAAATTTTTTTCATGCTCATCATTTTGCTTGGATTGGCTGGTTTACTTAGCCTTTTGAAGAGTGATCTTTGCTGAAATAGCCTAGAATCAATAATTCTGAATGTTCATTCAGTTTTTAAACAAAACAAATGATGGCATGGTTTAATCTAGACCTAAAACAAGTTCGTATCTTTCGTTATATAAATCAGATTTCCCGCGATATCGAAAACGAAAGTAGAGATGTGCCATATGGCTTGGTCAATCGAGTGATTTCTTATGACTTTATTGATAAAGTTGTGAGCTTACTGTGCTTTTAACACGATGTCAAATGTTTTCATCTAATTCTTAAAAGCTATATCTCCTTTTTCATAGCAGGGATGTTGATTAATTTATCGTAACCAATGTAATCACTGGTAGTCTTATGTTGTTGTCGTTGTCAAATCCGTGCTTGAAATCTATGTACAAAAAAGCGTTTGTATGATTCTGAGGCAAATCACGCGATATCTAGCAAGATTTTATGAGAGTGGCTTCAAAAATGGATACCCAAGCGAACCAAAAATACTTTAGACGCAGCTTTTGTAGAAAAGCGGTAGATTTCTAAATTAAATCGGTAGGCGGGAGATGGAGTGAAAAAGCGGTAGACTCCCGCCTAAATCGGGAGAGTTAACATGTATGTCTATATGTCATTTACAAAGTAACAGATCCTGATATTAGAAAGAATTTTAACTTTAAATTAATCCACCTATGCATATATTTGTGACATGAGGTCCATGTGTATGTAATATGTAACAGTGATATAAGTTACTGGTATTATAACCTACAAGATAAAAAGATACAGGTACATTTACTATAAAATTACTGAAATACTAGCTGCAGTTACATGTACATGCGATTGTAATATAATCTACAGATACATATAACTTGCAACATAATCATCAGGTACATGTAACTAAATATGAATATACCTGGAACTGATATTTCATATACAGTAATGTAACTTTTACTGCAGTATACATATCATCTGTATTTAGTATAGTCTCATACAATCAACACACAGGTAACTGATTTCCAACTGATTTGTAATGTTCACACTGCTATTGTTTAATCTACAGGTATATAGGAAGGCAGTGTTTAAGGAGGATTCTTACCTTGAGTTGTACAAGAAAAGTAAGAAGGTGTTTAACTCAAGGCAGCTACAGGCGCTGCAGAAGTTATATCAGTGGAGAGACAAACTGGCCAGGGTGGAAGATGAAAGTACTGGGTAAGAATTAAAAAACGACAGAAGTTATATCATTAAGGGATTTGATAACTAGGATGTAGAGCAAAAGTAATGAGTGTGGAGTAAATAACTGATTTTCTTTGTGTATATAGTCAGAAATATTATGTTAGAAATTACACTTGTACAAAGGAAATTACAAATTACTAAGTAAAGCAATAGTCATAAATAAAAAACTGGAGTCGTGGTTAAAAAATTAGAAGTGTATGATGTTTTTTTAACCTGTCTATTTATTTCAACAGATACGTTCTTCCGAACCACATGCTTCTCCAGATAGCGGAGATTCTGCCGAGAGAACAGCAGGGGATCTTTGCGTGTTGTACACCCATCCCTCCGTTAGTGCGACAGTTTCTGCCAGAGATTCACAAGTTTATACTGGAAGCACGGGAAGCTCCTTTGATAAAGGTAGGGATCATTGCACTGGCTCTATTATTAAAGATGTACAATATTACAGTCTCCAATATCGTAGATGAACATTACTTTTTACACCATACACGAAAGGATTGCGATGGTGCCCACTTTATTCATGAACATGTATTATGTTATACTTTATTATTATTTAAAGATGCATTGAAATATAAAGCTACTTGGAAATCTTAGTCTCCTTCAAATAAAATATATAGTAAATAGTCTTTCTTGAGGTACATGTTAATATTCTTTTTAGAATACATCTGTAAGTGGCTTTCTTATTTGTATCAGGTGTCATTACCACAAGAGAAGAGACCCAGTACATATCAGCATCCCAGATACGACCCGAACAGTCTCCTGAACTGTCACCATGACCTCAGTCACATGTCAGATGACCCCGGTCACATGACAAATAGTCAGCAGTCAACTACTGTCCCAGGTATATCTCTCTCTCTCCATCTCTTGCTATCTTAATAAAATATGTCCTTTCCGGATCTGTGTCACACTTTCTTTTCCTTTTTTTTTTTTTAAATCTGTCTTGATGATTTTAATTATTTATAAAAATGAATACTGTTTCCAGGAAATATTTGCCTGATTTTTATATTCACCCTTTTATCCAAATCCTCAGAAGAATTCTACGCAGACCACAGTGTCTCTCTTGCAGCAAATTTTAAATGGGGCAAAATTTTTTGTAAGTGTTATAACATGAATTTACCCTCTTTACAGCATTCTTAATATTTGTTTTAACTTAGATGTTTCCATGGTAACAAAGTCCTCCATGCTGTATGGTACCAATAACTCTGGCCTGATAGTAAGGGTGAAGGCCAGTCCACTTCTTACAGCTTTTGGTGACAAAGTAAGTCATTTCCAGGAGGAATATATAAAAAAAAACATGCATGTGTTCTTCTGTTATATGATGTGATAAACTATTAAATCTGTGATATGCATGTGTTTCATTTCTATTTACACTGCTAGAAGGACAAGAAAAAAGCCACAAAGGGACAGAGGATAGCTGCAGCACTTGCTTCCTCCTTCTTAAGTCCATTTACAAAGGTACTTGGTTGCTAATTACCTGAGAATATTACCTGACATTTACAAAGGTACTTGGTTGCTAATTACCCGAGAATGTAACCTGACATTTTTCCAAGGACAACTGGAAATTGACACCAAATTTAAAAGTATCACATGCTAAAGGGGGTGATTTATAGAAAGACAATATCAATGAATGAGCTCAAAGTATTTTAAGAAATTAAAGGTTTTATACACATTTTATGTACATTTAATACATCTGTAATTTATAATTTAACATCTTTATTACAGTTTCTGCCTGATGATGGTGAACCTTCTGCAGAATCAGAGGTAGTTATACAGTCAGAGGTCATTCTTTAATGGTATTTGTTCTTTTTTTTAAATTTCAAAATAAATATTTCATATTTTTTTTAAAAAATGATGTGTTTTACAAATTAAGGCACAGAGCTTAGGAAGTTGGACATTAAAGAAGAATACAAAGAGGAAAGAACGATCTCCTAGCCCACCTAAAGGTTAGAATTATCCACTAATATAATTAAAATCTACCATTTTTAAAGTATAATTCTGCAGCTATATAAGATGTATAATCTACCTTATGTATAATTCTGTCAGATGACTTTGGAGCAAATTAAGACTTTCATCTCCATTGCCATTGTCAGGTCCATTGTTTGTTAATACAAAATTTTACTTTGTGTGTTAATTTTATTAGGTCCACCTCCAAAGAAAGTGAAGTCAGACCCTGTATCAGAACAGATTGAATTGTCAGTGAGGGAGGTAAGGTTTCAGTGGAGGATATTGTTGATTTATGATGAATACATGTGAATGACGAAGCTAGGAATAGTCTCAATAATTGTTTTAATTTTCTAAAACAGTTTGAGGCAGTATTAAGTAATAAAAGAGTTTTGTTGGTATTGCATTCAGACATTCTATTTTTTTTCATTTAATATTTGTGTGTACTTGCAGTAACAGCTTCCTTTGATACATTATATATTTTATATCTAAACCATGTTTCATCAAGATGACGATCCAGCAAAGACAGAGGGACAAAGAGGACCATGTTAATCTGAAAACAACGGACGATGATAAACCTAAGAAAAAGAAGAAGAAGAAAGAGAAGAGGAAGAAGAGAGAAGACGCTGAGTTTGCTGCCTTTGATTACAGCCAGGCAGACCAAAATATGTTCTTAGGTAGGATGGGACTTAAATACAAGTACCTTCTTTGGTAATACATAAATAAGAACATCGAGAAATGGGCTAAATCAAATCTATGGTAACTTGTTCAATTTCCAACAAATGTCATAAATGTTAAATACGTTTACAGTACTGTGGATTTGTCTAAATGATTTGAAAATCCCATGCAACCACTTATCCTCTATGTATTTCAATCTGATTTCTTTAAAAAATCTTTGGATACCTTGACGTTTTTGTCTCAGTCCCCTCAAGTTCGAGATAAAGAGGTTTGACTGTATATTTATTTCAGTGGAAGATTGACCTACATATGTACATGTAATTAGACATGTTTATTTACTTTTTAGGTGGTGACAGTAAGAAGAAAAAACATGATGTTTTTAACCCGTACACTTCATTACAAAGTAAAGGAAACCAGAAGGTCAGTATACTTAGCTGTGTTCTTTCTATTTTATTGATGTTAAAACAATACGTAGTCTGAACACTTTATATACATGTTTGTCCTCATCTGTTAACTAAAAGTTAAAATCCAGGAACATTTTATAAAGAAATGGGTACGGTATGTATAACGAGGCGGCCCTGTAAAATCGGCAAAAATTAAACGCACGATGACATTTTTTTAACTTTGTTAATTTATTGTTAAGGTTCCCCTTTTTGAAAAATTGGTATCAATTTTCCTCAACTCACGTGACCTTTTGTGTATGTAACGTTCAAAACCGGTCAAAAAATGCTGGAATTCACCTATTTTGGACGTTTTCCTCCTCTTCAAGTCTAGATTTCGATGTGGCCGCATCCGAGTACATTTGCGAAACTTTGCAGAAAGAACAAGTATACTTCGGTTTCTAATATGAAAGAAAAAAAATGACTGTACCAAAGTGCGGCCACGTCCGTTTTTAAGAAAAACTGTAGTTGAAAATACTTCGTTTTTGGAAAGATGTGACTTTTCCTTATCATTAAAATCTTTACTTTTAAGGAAATTAAATGTTGAAGTCTGAATCTAAATGAGTTATTATCTAATCTATACTTTTACAGGAATAAATTGTTTAAATCTGTATCTGAATGTTATGAAAACCACATAAACTTTTCTTCGTAAAATTTATCAAGGGACATTGCATGGAAATTAATTACGCAACAATACATTAAAAACATGACGTCACAATGAGCCGACATATGTTGAATAACCAAATTCTTCAGTCTTCCGTAATAAAAGAATAATATGATATTAAATTTTCAAACAATATATACAGTGAAAAACAGTCAAATGACATAAGTTTACATTTATACATGTACCTCTTATTAAAACGAGCGTCTCCTTCATATTGGACGTGATATTGACTTTACTGTTCAAGAAAAGATGTTTTTAAACGTTTTATTGAAAATTATCATGCAGCTCTTTTAAAATATGATTTAGATTATACATTTATCATGCTGAATGTTGACATCAGTGCTTTCAAGACAGGTTTAAATTAAACATGCAGTTCAAAGGCGGATCCAGAGCCGGTGCGCCGAGCCCCCCCCCCCCCCCAATCCACCGTTTAATTTTTAAAAAATTGCTTGTATTTTTTGTATTTTGTAAAACAAGCATTTAATTGATTATTTTTTTGGTACTAGCATGAAACACAAACTTATCAGTAGATCTACACGTATGGTAGGAGATATTCCGATATATTTTACCGCCATGGCAATGTATTCTAGAATTCCTGCAAGATGACGAATTGTTTTCTAAATCAAAGGGGGGAGGGCACATATTACACATAGTAGATGTTCGTTCCCCGGACCCTACCAGGAATGTGCTGCCAACCCCCATGGGGTTTCAACGCAGCTCCAGACACCCTGTTATTAATACCACTCCCTCCCCCGTTATTAAATTCCTGGATCCGCAACTATAATCTTTAAGGAGTTTAGATAACGAAATAATATTATTTTGACAAATTTTGTATGGCTACAGTTGTGAGTGTTTTCGGCAATTTCTATGTTATTTTGAATGAAAAGTGATGCAATCAACTATATTTATTTGTGTCCGAATAAAGATTAACTACGGTGGTATATTTAGGACACGCAATTATTTTTTTTTAAATACCAGAAAAAAATTATCCTGTGAAAACGACATAATTATCTTGTGAAAACGACATATTATCTTGTGAAAATGAGATATTATCTTGTGAAAACGAGATATTATTTTGTGAAAACGACTTATTATCTTGTGAAAACGAGATATTTTTTTGTGAAAACGAGATATTATCTTGTGAAAACGACATATTATCTTGTGAAAACGAGATACTATCTTGTGAAAACGAGATATTATCTTGTGAAAACGAGATATTATTTTGTGAAAACGACTTATTATCTTGTGAAAACGACTTATTATCTTGTGAAAACGAGATAATATCTTGTGAAAACGACATAATATCTTGTGAAAACGACATAATTATCTTGTGAAAACGAGATACTATCTTGTGAAAACGACATAATATAATATCTCGTTTTTATGTCGTTTTCACAAGATAATATCTCGTTTTCACAAGATATTATGTCGTTTTCACAAGATAATATCTCGTTTTCACAAGATAATTATGTCGTTTTCACAAGACATTATGTCGTTTTCACAAGATAATATGTCGTTTTCACAAGATAATATCTCGTTTTCACAAGATAATAAGTCGTTTTCACAAAATAATATCTCGTTTTCACAAGATAATTATGTCGTTTTCACAAGATAATACCTCGTTTTGCTTAGAAAACAAAACGCACAGACTTCTATAGCTGATGTGGATAAACTATGTAAATCATGCACATAACATTACAAAATAGCATAATATTTATTTCTACAAGTCTAGAAAATCATACCTGTTAGACAGTACTACTACATTGTACTACTAAATTCTGGGATCCCTTCCCGGAAATTCGTGTTTTTTACCTCCCACTTGAAAATCAGGAGGGTTATAGTAATCGATATGTCCACCCGTCTGTCTGCCCGTTATGCTTTGGGGTACCCGTCTCTTATCCGCGTATCCTATTACACCACTGAATGAAATTCAATGAAACTTTCACAGAATCTTAATAACATATTGCCATTGTGCAACTTTTATTTTACTTTTTGATCCGACACATGTTTTGGGATTCTAACGACAAAACATAAAAGAGAGGTACCCCCAAAGCATTACAGACGGACGGACATCCTGATCACTATATACCCTGCCACTTTTTAAGCGAGGGTAAAAAATCTAAAATCAAAGAAAATTGAAAAAGGCATTTCACATAACCCCGAAATAAGGAAGTAATTAATATGTTCATATAAAAAGATACTACATTTATAGCGCCGTCATTTGTTGGAATGGAAAGGGGGAGTTCTGTTGATAGCTTTTTCATTGCAAAAAAAAAAAAAATTCCAACTTAATAAACAATACGTTCATTTTTTTAAGTACTCACCTCATTTCATCTGGATGAATAAAGTTTCGTAGACTAGCGTGTTTGGTACAATCGTTTGTTAAAAAATTATATATTTCTGAAAATTATTAAACTATTTTAAACTATCAACGATATATGATGAATTGAAAATTAGTTCAAAATGGTTCACTGGAATATTGGCAGGATTAAGTAAATAGTTTTCGGTTAAGAGAATTTACAGATTTCATTTAATGTAACGTTAAAATCAGTAACGCCGTGATGACGTTATTACGTCTTAAGTTGTAGTTATTGAAGAAAATGCACCAGTTTTCATAACCTCTGGCGGAAAAACGGTTGAAATAATTTTAAAAAATAAAATGATTTTGAAAGGACACATTTTAGGCATGATTGTAACAAACTTCAATGAAATTTAGAGTCAGGGCCGCCTCATTATACATACCGTACCCAGTTCTTTGAAATACGATTCATTTCTGTGTTTTTAAACTGGGGGAAGATATACCATAGACATTTTTCTTTTCTGGATATTTAGTAGGGGGTCACAAATGCAGAGCTGCCAACCCTTACGATTTTGGCGTAAGTCGTACGAAATTAGTGTCCAAAAAAAGATTACGATTTCTCTCTATATGCTTCCGATTTTTGTTTGTCTCGATCAGAGTTTATAATATTGGAATTTTCATAACTGGTGGTCTACAGTTTCTACTATTATAATTAAATATTCATAATCCTTACAACGCTTGCTTGCATCGTCGTTTTGGTTTTAGATTGCTAAATCACATTCATGTCAATGTTTTAAAGTAAACAAAATGGAAACATACCTTAAATGGCTACAATTGCATGTCCATTTACGAAACATCTTCAGCGGCAGGGGGCTTAGGCGGTCCGCGAACCCTGCCTTCCTATTTTTCATTTCAGAATGTTGGCAGCTCTGCAAATGGTCAAGAGCATTTTGTCACTTACATGTATAGTACATAAAATACCCTCAATGACAAAACAAGAATCTGTATAATTTACTACTAATCTACTGACAAAATAGACAGAAATTATAATTCAATAATAAGTATGATCCAGTGGAAAAAAGTAATGTTAACAAGATTTAAATGGGACTGATAATTTCATCAGTGTCAGTTATTGCTTTTGTTAGTTTGAAAACAATAGAATAATTGTAGGATAACCTTTGTTTCATTTTTAAAAGGTTGGAAGATCCAGTCAATCATTTTCCCGATCCCAGAAGAGTCACAGTTACAAACAGGATGGAAAAAGAGGGGGGAGGAGCCACAACTGGCCGAAACAGAAATGAGTGGCAGGAATGGGTCATAATCAACCAAAACAGAGATGAAGGACTATTTCATAAATCTCTTTGTGCTGTCCAAACTGCAACAACAGTATCACATTTGTGTTGACATTTTCATAGTCATATTAAAATTACAATAATAATTGGTAATATATAGCATTTGATGTCTTCAGAATTATCTATCAGAAGAACATAGCTGTGTGTTTAACATAAATAACACAACTGTGTACAAAAAAATGTTGAATATATTGATATGCATGTATGTGATTTGTTAATACTGAATTTGAATAGAAAGGACATAAATAATTAATTCCTAAAATATAGAGAAACAGTAGAATTTTAAAGTATAAAGCTTGTAAATTATTGCGAAATGTAGGTGTTCTTTTTCACTCTTAAATGAAAACAAGAGGCCCATGGGCGACATTGCTCACCTTAGCACATCAGCTGGGAAAAAAGCACAAATCAGTTCAGTATTGAAAAGTTTACTAAGGTAGGGGGAGGGGAGGGTGGTTATGGTATGAATTTTGTACTACATAAGGATGCCCCATCATATAACATATAACTTTGCTGTTCTTGAGAAAAAGATTTTCTTCCTATATGGTACTTTGTAAAAATTGATCCCCCATGTGTGGTCCCTCCCTACCCCAAGGAGTCTTGAACAAATTGAAATCTTCACAACATGAGAATGCTTACATGTTAATGTGACTAAACATAGCTTTCTTTTCTTGAGAAAGGCTTTTCCTGCTATTTTCCTATAGATGTAAAACTTTGATCCACCATTGTGGACTATCCCTAACCTTGGGGGTTATGTTTTGAATAAACTTGAATTTGCACTACCTTATAAGTATCACTAATCATGGCCTTACTATTCTTAAGAAGAAGATTTTTTTTCTTTATATTTCTATGTAAAAATTTGAACCCCACCCTACCCCTGGGGGTTATGATTTGAATCTTCACAACCAGAGGATGCTTCCATCTAAATATCACTAATCATGGCTTTGCTATTCTTGTGAAAAAGATTTTTAAAGATTACCAGGGGTATATATTTCTATGTAAAAATTTGATCCCCTACTGTGATCTCACCCTACCCCCTGGGATTATGATTTGAAACTTGAATCTTCACAACCAGAGGATGCTTCCATATAAATATCACTAATCATGGCTTTGCTATTCTTGAGAAGAAGATTTTTCCATATATATTTCTATGTAAAACTTTGATCCCCCATTGTCACATGTGGCCCCACCCTATCACCGGTGGTCATGATTTGAACAATCTGCACCATCTGAGGATGCTTCCATTTAAATAAGACCAATCATAGTTTTGCAATTCTTGAGAAGATTTTTAAAGATATTTGCCATACATACCTTTGCAAACTTGAATCGTCCAATGTGTCCCCACCCTACTTCCTGGAGTCATGATTTGAACTAACTGAATTTACACCACCTTAGTATGATTCCAAATGAGTTTTTTTTTCTCGGCGCAGTGGTTCTTGAGAAGATTTTTAAAGATTTTCCCAATATATTCCTATGTAATTCCCTGATCGGTCGATATGGTCCCAACCTACCTCTAGGGGTCATGATTTGAACAAACATAATTTCATCTTTGTTGGCCCAGTTGTTCTTGAGAAGATTTTTAAAAGATTTTTCCTATATATTCCTTTGTAAAACTTTGATTGGCCATTGCAGCCCAACCTTACCCCCGGGGGTCATGATCTGAACAATTTTGAATTTACACTACCTGAGGATTAGTCCGAAATATCTTACATTTTCCAGGTATTTTCACAATTTTGATATTTTACTTGCCAGGAAAATATCAAAATCGTAAAAAAAAAAGCCTGGAGAACGTCAGATATTTCCGACTACCTGAGGATGATTCCATAGGAGTTTCATCTTTCCTGGCTCAGTGGTTCTTGAGTAGATTTTTTAATGGTGTCATTAATTTTTCACTTATTTGTTATTATCTCCCCTTACAAGAGGATATGGCCCTTAATTTGAACAAATTTAAATTCCCTTTACCCAAGGATACGCTGTACCCAGTTTAGTTGAAATCGGCCAAGTAGTTCTTGAGAAGAAGATGAAAATGTGAAAAGTTTACATCGACAACGACGCAAACGACAACGTACACATTTTGATCAGAAAATCTTACTTGAGTCTTTGCCAAGGTGAGCTCAAAATTCCACTACAATGATCCAAACATATGCTAAATTATATCATTTAAAGGTACCATATTAAAATTCTATAAATTATTAATGATAGTGTTTTTACCGACTTGTAAAACTGACTTGTATTTAACAAAATATTGACAAGTAAATTTTTTAACAGAAGAATTAAAAAGGAAAATTTCTCTATAATACAATTTCTACAGATGTGCACCACTTGTTTATTTGTATTTTCTCTTGTGTAAGAAATTTAAATCTTTAAATATAATGGTTCACTATGGAATATGCATATATTTTCATAAAAGCTGCTAAGGCCTGATTTATAATGTTCTAAAATGTGTTTTGAAAGCCATAATTATCCAAAAACATGGACTGCTCTTTTTACATAGTTACAATAAAAATAATATAAAAATTTCTCGTGATAAGATCAATTCAATTAAAAGCTTACAAGATTCTCTTTTGATGTCATCAAGTGAATCTTATGATCTCCAACACGCTTTCAGTTCTTCAAGGTTTTTAATATCGACCACAAGAGCGATTAACTATAATATATTATATTAGGTTGTGTTTGAAGCTGCATATTGGGAAATTAGATTATTTAAAAACAATTTTAAATTAAATTTTAATCTAATTATTTCAATTGCTCATTTCTCATCAGAGATTAAATAATTAATGATAAAATGGCTTACATCAGGTACTCCCCAATATAGAAGTGTGTAACGTATGATTTTTCAGGATCATAAACAAAAGATACAGTATTAGTGAAAAGTTGTGGGGGTGGTAAATTGTTTGTTTGTTTGTTTTTTTAAGTATGCTTAGGCTGTAAATGACAAAGGTATATTTTCCTACACTTTGTTATGTTATCTATCACTTCTGTGCATCATATGTCGGCATAAGTCATAGGCATAACAAACGACACATACACCGGTACATCAGCATCTGGTTCATCTGAAGAGTTGATTCTTTATCCCTGATTTTCATGTAGATCATTCAATTTGATGAACAAATGTACAGAAATTTTATTTCGTTGCATAGAAGAGAGCCTGTAACACCATCTGGCACTTTCCTTGAAAATACTAGTACTAGTTTTCAATGCTAATATTTGTTTGTGACTGGTTTGGTATTTTGCAAGAATTTTAATTTTTATTACTCTACTGGTCGGAGACTAGAAGAGCTTATGCGATAGAATGAGTTTTTTTGATTTTAATGAAGGGTGTTGCCTTGGTTATTAAAAATAGAAAGGATGAATGAAACTTAACGCCGTGTTTTGGGTCTTTTTTGGATGATTCTGTTGCTTTTCTTAACCTCATTTTAATTTTGTATATTGACTACAAAATTCTATTTTTCCTGTCCCCGAAAAGAATAATGAGAGATATACAGTTTTTGCCCTGTCTGACTGTCTGTTTGTCAACAAACCTTTTAAGCACACCCATACCTTTTGAGTGGGTGGGGCTTTGGCTTTCATATTTCACAGATATACAAGTACTCCTTTTGACAAAACCTTCTTAGAGTACCACCAAATTTGAGCTCTTGACCTTGGAGTTTAACCCATTTTTACAGAAAATGACCAAACGTAAGCCTAGGCCATAATTTTTGAACAATTTGCTAGGGCTTTCATACTTCACACGTGTATAGATTTTGACAATGGTCTTTCAATGGCTTTAACTATTTTTGACCTTCATTGACCCACTTTTTAAAATGTTTAACCTTGGACATACGTTTTGAACAGTTAATACTAGGGATTTCATTCATGTATTTCACACAAATCAATAGAGCTAGTCTTTGATTGACCCACTTTTTAAAATCTTCAACCTTGGCCATAAGTTTTAAACAGTTAATTAATATGGGTTTCATATTTCACACAAATCAGTAGAGCTAGTCTTGGCAGTGACTTCTGGTGTTTTTAGTCTATATATGTGATATCTCCTTAGAAATCGCTGTGAATGAACTTGATAAGCTAGTCTTCATTTGAATGAGGTAATCTCTGCTTCTAATTTTAAGGTTGTAGAGGTGAACGGTATATTAAAGAGAGAATTGGAAAGATTCCAGTGCCCCCAAACCACGATCATTTCACAGGGTTTTGAAGAAGGTCTTGGTCTTCGTGAACTTCTCTCTTTGATATGCTTAAACTTAATCGTTTATAAGTACATGTATTTACATATTGCTATTATATTGTGATAAATAATCATTTTAGAACATCAGAACAATTAAGACTAGAACAAATTAAGACTTAAAAATCATATTTGAGAAGCATAAAATGAAAATTGTTCCTTGTACGAAACATCTCCAAATTCAATACTTCTGAATTAAATCATCTTGAGAGTCTTTCTCACGTCAAAAGAGCGGATATCCTACAGTTTTTGGAATTGCTGAGTGTTCTCATTTCATGACATTTCAATGTTAAGGCCCAACAGACGTTGCACCCGTCGGACGAAACCAAATATAATCGGCAACCTTGAGAAAATCATGTAACCTAAACTGATGATGCTCCGTACTGCTGAAGTTCCCCATTCATTGCTGAGAATGGCCAGGATACCAAGTTGTAGAGCGTTCGCTTTGTGATTGGAAGGTTCATTTTTCCTTCTCTATAATTGCCCTACACAAGTGATGAAAATCTCTGTCCTGTGTCACAGTCGGCGTTTGTATGTTTGCACTATAGTGAATCCGCACTGCTCAGTTACCCTGGTGTCGAGTAAAGGTCTAAATTTGAAGCCCTTAACCAGTGTACGGTGAAGTTTCTACTGAAGTGAAAAAAATGAATCGACGGTGGTAAAACAGCACACATTCTGAATGACGCTACGTAGACTACTTAGTAGAAATCTTTATATTTCTACTGGTCTTTCAGAATTTTTGTAATCAGATAACCTATTTATCAAGATTTCTTTGATAAGTCTCCTAATCTAGCGAAGAGTCTTTGATATTTTTGAAAACATCAAATTCTCCCCTTTTGAAAAACTGACAACATCTCCAGCGTGCAAAAAGGACTTCATTTTATTGCAGGATGTATCTGCGGGACCGATAAGGTCGTAGTTGATAACGAGCAGCCTCTTTCTGCTATCCGCCAAATAACTTTCCCAAATACAAGTCCACTCCTTATACGTATACAGAGAGTCTTCGTTTAAGTAATTGTCAGATAGATGCACTATGTAAAACCTCGACACCGAGATCTGCCATGCTGTCTCGTCAGATCGAACACTTCCAAGAGTCAGGTCACGTGTCGGTAGGAAAACATGAAAGCCTTTCAGGATCAAAAAAGGTTCTAGTGATTTAAGTATCCATGAATGAAGGTCTTGATTTTCTCCGTCGTAGGAAACAAACACAACACAGTCTTGGTCCAACACGCTCTGAGATGATGGTCGTTTACACGCCCTTGAGGTTCTATAGATGAGCCTTATTTCATACTTATATCTATAAACAGCGGCAGCAAATACAGCTACACATATACCGAGGAAAGAACAATTAAATAATAAAATATAAATTGAGTTATTAGATTTTTCTTGGCAATCCATGTGTGGAATGTATGTTATTATTTTCTCGGCGCTGATTCCAACCATACACTTAAAAGCAAATCCTGTACTGCAGTTTCCATTTCTAGTCACCAGCCATTCATACATCCATCGGTGTGAGCAGGTACAGTTTACAATAAAATCCTGCTTCTGCAGAAAAATACACGGATCAAAACAAGAAAACTCACGCGGTATACCATAAAACTGTGCTTTTCTGGAAGTAGAAAATTCTTTTAATCTTTTCAATTTTCCTAAGGCTCCATGCTCAAAGGAAGGCAGGTTTGACAATTCCATAACAGAGACACGAGGCAAGTAATGTTCCTCTTTAATGTGAGCGATAAAGCTTCCATGGAGGTAAAATTCGATTTCATTAATTTCTGGTAGGATGTGTGGTAATCGTTGAATTTTCGACTGTGAACAGTTTATGCTCAAAGTGAAAGTCAGCTGGGTCTCCCCAGCGCTCGAATATCTTGGTGTCTTTACACAGGAACAGCCACGAGGACACAATGGTGTACCTGTGTAATCACAAACAAGCTCTGAAATCCGATCTCCGTCCAGAAAATTTATAATTAAACTTCCTTTTAAAGCTGGTGGATTCTGACAAGACATATAGAAATAAGTTCGATCTATGTGCTTTGTTAATGGTTTAAAATAAACTAGAGGCTCTGCTAATCTACAGTCACAAGTAATAGGATTATACCGAATGTCAATTCCAAAATAAATGATTTTCCCGACATCGGAAAGATTTGGAAATCCCACTTTTTTCCAGTTTGGAAGTTCTTGGATGTTATTGTATGTTGCGTCAATAAACCCTCCAGAATAGCTGACACTCTTGTTCACCGTCCACTTGTAGTTGTTAACTAGAACCTGTAAGTTGTTGTAGGAGAAATCCATCAAACAGAATGGCCTCACAATGGCAAAATCTCTGACATCAAGGGACATTAAAAAATTCCCTTTCAGAATGATAGTGTGAAAGGTTGAGAGTTCCAGAACCCCCGTCTCTATGTATGTGATCAAGTTATACGATAAGTCAACATACCCCAGATTTCTGTTGTGTATCAGCGAAGCTTTTCTGAGAGAACTGATCTTATTCCTAGAAAGTTCCAGAACCTCCAAGTTTGGGAGACAAGACAGAGATGGAATACCTGTGAGCAGGTTGTCCGAAAGACGAATCAGTTTTATGAAGGGAAAATCACATAAATTTCCTGGAAAAGTTTGCAGATTTCTAAAGGTATAATCCAAATCCATGCTCTCTGCTTTTGAACAGTGATCCCCAGATATTGTGCCATTTAGAGACAAAAGCAAATGGCATGAGTTGATATCGTAATTTACAGTACAGGCACAGTTGATCTGAAATACAGTAAAACAAAGTGCACACATAACGGGCAGCAATGATAAATCAATTATTTCCATATCAATTGCTCTTTCTTCTTCAACGTACTTATGCAGTGTAACACTTAAGTTCAAGTCCCCAGAACTGCACTTAAAAAGCAGACGATTTAAAATGAATAAAGTGCATGCACGGATACCCATGGGGCGAATATCAGTTGACATTGTATTCTTACTGAGAACAAACATACTACAAAAAGAAGTTCGCCTAAAACTGGGTATTTAAAATTCAACAAATTTACCTCGCTGGATGACTTAATAATTTCCTGATAATTTATTCATACCAGTGAATGCATGGATATTACTGTAATATATATGATGTAATCAATGGCCTTGTGTATATTGAATTAAGAGAAATATTTAAAACTATTCTAAATTTACAATATGTTTTGATCCGATATAGCTGAATAAAATGAGATAAAAAATATAAAATACATAGCCCAGGAATTGAAAATTCACATGATAGTATGCAATACTTTAAATTTAATTCAATTTTTAGAAAAATCTTTCTAATAAGGCCGAAATTAAAAATATCTTTGTTTCCCCTAACCCGACCCTAAATTCTCAAGTTGGGTCGGTAGGTAGGTAAACAATTTTATTTTCTGACAGCAGCTTTTGAAATACATTCTAAAATTTAATGGAAAATTACCTTAAGTTTATAAATAAGAATAGTACAAAAGAAAGCAATTTGTGAACAAAATGCTAAGTATTGTAGATATGCCGTTTAAAAGCAAATTTCATGATTTATTAATTCACAACTGTTATTTAGTTGAACTTGTGAAATATCTCAGGCCATTAAATTTATATCAATTGAAATAAAACAGACAAGATAAAATAAACAAGATTCTCAAATACGCAAAGACAAGACAAATCTTCCATCAGCCTTCAGAGCTTATAGACGATCAATGTATTTTTTTGAGGGCGATGAGATTTGCAGTGGTTCTGGAGCATTTTGCTTTAGAGTTAAGAAGTAAGTGGCTAATTTTAAATCGCAGGTTCAAATCTCAATGAGTAACGTTGAAAACGGTCCTTTAAAGGCACGTCTTAATTTGGAGCAATGGAGAAATGTTTAAATGTCGTCCTAAAAAATCTCGAAGGGATTAAAAGCAAAGAAACAACCGATCTTCAAGGGCCTAATTAAAGAAAAATACACTGGACGTCTCAGGAAGCTGAATCAAATTTTAAAACTATTTGGAAAAAATATTTTAACAATATTTAATTGAACGAAACCGAATCTACAAATGATAAAAGTGCTATACAATGTCACATTCAAGACGTTTTACCACTAAATAAAGTCATGAAGAAAGGACATCTGAATAATATTTATCAGGATGAATATGCAGACATATTTACAACAACTCCTATGGTTCCATAATGGCATATAGTAAACACAGGAATATAGATGAACTGCTTATTAGATCAAAACTCAAAATTAAATAAAATGCAGTGAAATTGAATGAAGTGTTCACTAGGTGGGCCTCTCATCTACTCATGAGGCGGGTCTTACTATGTATTACATACCTTAAAATTCAAAGACAGGTTTTTGTTTGTTTGTTTGTTGTTTAACGTCCCTTTCGGAAATTTATTCACTCACATGGAGACGCCAAGGCACCTCCGAAACACTCTTAATTAGTCATGGTAAATTCTATTATCGAATTGTTTTCAAGAGTGAAGAATTCCAATTAGCTAAAAGCATAAGATTGAGACGTCGCCATTGTTTTATGAAGAGCTAATGCCTTGTAATCACATCTGGACGTCATTTTGTTTCCAACAAATGCTTGAAAATCACAGTAGAACAATGTCGGCCGTTATGATAAAAACTGATATTGATGAAATTGTATTTTATAAAACTTGGTTAATAATAAAAAAAATATTTGAATCATCTTATTTAAAAAATCTTTTCAGTCGGCGCGATTTAACTGGGTCGGTCGCGTTAGGGGAAACAAATGTATTTTTTATTTTGGCCTAATTGAGAAGGACACATGTTATAATGTGTCAAAATGATCAAGGAATTAAACCGACAGTTTTTTTAAAATATATTTTTGACGAGTAAAACATATTCATCACAAAAAAATTAAATTAAAAGAATCAGTAGATGACGTCAAAATATTTCTCCTTTGAACATGGATTAAGAGTTATTTTGCATTAAATAGCAGACATGGCATGTAGATAGCATAAACGCTTTCTTAAATGTAGCTTCCAAAATGACCAATATCTGTAATAAAAAACAATATAGCGGATACATTATAAGGAGGCTGGGGGGTCAACATATAAACCATCGGGTATAGCTGAATTTTTTTTAGATTTGATATCTTAAGCTTTCAGACATCACTTGGCAAAGAAATATTTCATACATTTAAATTTTAAAATTTCATCACTTTTGTATATCTCTATATCAATGGAGCGCTTCTTCTAAAGGAGATCAATATAATCTAAAAATGGCCACAACCACCCAGCCCTCTTAAGGATTTTAATTGATTTTTCTTACAAACATAGGTAATCAGAGTTTACAGACCTAACCTCAACGAATGTTGCCTTTAAGTAAGACAAAACTCGCATTAAAGAGATAATCTAGAAGTTTACATCTCAGGCCGAAATTAAAAATATCTTTGTTTCCCCTAACCCGACCCTAAATTCTCAAGTTGGGTCGGTAGGTAGGTAAACAATTTTATTTTCTGACAGCAGCTTTTGAAATACATTCTAAAATTTCATGGAAAATTACCTTAAGTTTATAAATAAGAATAGTACAAAAGAAAGCAATTTGTGAACAAAATGCTAAGTATTGTAGATATGCCGTTTAAAAGCAAATTTCATGATTTATTAATTCACAACTGTTATTTAGTTGAACTTGTGAAATATCTCAGGCCATTAAATTTATATCAATTGAAATAAAATAGACAAGATAAAATAAACAAGATTCTCAAATACGCAAAGACAAGACAAATCTTCCATCAGCCTTCAGAGCTTATAGACGATCAATGTATTTTTTTGAGGGCGATGAGATTTGCAGTGGTTCTGGAGCATTTTGCTTTAGAGTTAAGAAGTAAGTGGCTTATTCTAAATCGCAGGTTCAAATCCCAATGAGTAACGTTGAAAACGGTCCTTTAAAGGCACGTCTTAATTTGGAGCAATGGAGAAATGTTTAAATGTCGTTCTAAAAAATATCGAAGGGATTAAAAGCAAAGAAACAACCGATCTTCAAGGGCCTAATTAAAGAAAAATACACTGGACGTCACAGGAAGCTGAATCAAATTTTAAAACTATTTGGAAAAAATATTTTAACAATATCTAATTGAACGAAACCGAATCTACAAATGATAAAAGTGCTATACAATGTCATATTCAAGACGTTTTACCACTAAATAAAGTCATGAAGAAAGGACATCTGAATAATATTTATCAGGATGAATATGCAGACATATTTACAACAACTCCTATGGTTCCATAATGGCATATAGTAAACACAGGAATATAGATGAACTGCTTATTAGATCAAAACTCAAAATTAAATAAAATGCAGTGAAATTGAATGAAGTGTTCACTAGGTGGGCCCCTCATCTACTCATGAGGCGGGTCTTACCATGTATTACATACCTTAAAATTCAAAGACAGGTTTTTGTTTGTTTGTTTGTTGTTTAACGTCCCTTTCGGAAATTTATTCACTCACATGGAGACGCCAAGGCACCTCCGAAACACTCTTAATTAGTCATGGTAAATTCTATTATCGAATTGTTTTCAAGAGTGAAGAATTCCAATTAGCTAAAAGCATAAGATTGAGAAGTCGCCATTGTTTTATGAAGAGCTAATGCCTTGTAATCACATCTGGACGTCATTTTGTTTCCAACAAATGCTTGAAAATCACAGTAGAACAATGTCGGCTGTTTTGATAAAAACTGATATTGATGAAATTGTATTTTATAAAACTTGGTTAACAATAAAAAAAATATTTGAATCATCTTATTTAAAAAATCTTTTCAGTCGGCGCGATTTAACTGGGTCGGTCGCGTTAGGGGAAACAAAGGTATTTTTTATTTTGGCCTCAACATGCTAAATTTATGCGATTTTGATCTGACATTGTTTCCGTTACTTGAAAATAGACTTATCCAAAAACTTCAAACTAGTCACCCATCAAGAAAATGTAATTCAAATCCAGCATTTAAAGCAAGTTTGAAAGTGTTCCTCCCTTGATGCATCATCTATGCAAGTTTGTTTAAGTTAGGCCTTATAGTTTCATTATAATAGACCGCACCCATAAGTTTAACCTGGTCCATCATCTGGAAAATTTATGTCGTATCCAGCATCCGAAACAAGTCAATTAGTGTGATCCTTAGATGTATCATCCATGCAGGTTTCCTCAACATAAGGCTTATACCTATACTAAAGGAACCAGCTCTAAAAACTTAAACCTGTTCAGTCATCTGAAAAATGTAGGTCAGATCCAGCATCCGAAGCAAGCCGATTAGGGTGCATCCATAAGTGTATCACCCATGGTCAACATAGGAGTTAAGATTACTTGGAAATGAGACCTGCACCAAAAAGTTTAACATGTTCACTTATCTGGAAAATGTAGGTAAGTTTCAGCCTCTTAAACAAGCCTGGTGGTGCGCATCATTTGATTTGTCATCCCTATAAGTTTGGTCAACAAAGGGCTTAGAGTTACTTAGAAATGAGACCTGCACCAAAAACTTCAACATGTTAAAAGTTTACTCGTCCATAAACTGATAAAACGTAGGTAGACCTAGCCTCCGAAGCAAGCTTTGTAGTGTGCATCCTTAGATGCATCATCCATGTAAGTTTGGTCAACATAGGGCTTATAGTTACTTGGAAATGAGAAGTGCACCATAAAAATTAACCTGCACCAAAAAATCAATAACTTGCTCCGAAAATGTTAATCTGGCCTGGAGGCCATAAACTGCGAACAGGTATAACTTTTGAAAATTTTAATAGCAAAACAATTTTTTTCACATGTTTAAATTGAACGATTATACAAACCTTGAAATTTTTATTATGTTTGTATCATAAATGAAAAGCTTAAAATTTTGACTTGAGTTTTTGATGTCCATCAACATGTCGACAGTCGGTTTCTATGTAAAGAAAAACTATGTATGAAATAAACGTGAAACGTTTTG